TCTATGCCTTTCAATTAGAATGTTTAATCCAAAGTAAAATTATGTACTAAAAGTGAAATATGGAGGGGCAGACAAATAGAACTGACAGTGCTAAGTGTCAGAAAGTTAAACATATTTATCTTAAAGTAAGTTTCCTACAATATTTAATTCTAAAGGAATGGAAGCTCACACTTGCATAAATTTTCAGAGCCAGAGGCATTATCTGGCAGTAATAAATACATGCACCATAATTAAAAATTCACTTATATTTGAATGACTAAGTTTCTTTTCTTTTATTAGTTAATGATTCGAGCATCACAATTTCACAACTCTATTTGCTTCAATGCCAAGTTTTTTGGTGAGATACTGGTGAAACCGCATATGGAAAAGGTCAAACTGAACAGCATCTTTGAGGTTACTGTATTTTACTGCATACGCAAACATTGCAAGTTGTTGCTCAATCTACTCCATTATAACTGTGACAGTAATCGTTTTAATACAAACTTCAGATATCAACAATACATGTTAGCAAGCTATTTATGCAGCAGCAGCAAAGAGGCATAACTCACTGCCTTCAGCAACAGATCCACAATAACTGATGGGAATTTCCAGTAGCAGTTGACAGAAATCATGACTGCAAATCCTGGTTGATTTTCTCCTTTAAAACAAGAGTCAATGGGATCAATTGTATCATTCCTACTGCCTATCTAATTGAATCAAGTAACTAAGTGTGGATCACAAACATTAAGTCCCATAAATAGAGTCCAGTTCCATACATTACATAATAGTCAACAGAATAGCTCTATGATTGCCAAGTTTTCTCCATTTCAAGCCACTATGAAAAACTCCAATTGCACTTATCACTGCAAGAATATTAAAATGTGTTCTTTCACTAGTATTAATTTGCTAGCTCACATATTGTATCTGCTAGTGAACATGATGTTTGCTCAAGGGCGGCATGGTAGCTCAGTAGTTAGCACTACTGCCTCACAGCGCTAGGGACCTGGGTGGAATTGAACTCTCGGGCGACTGTGTGTGTGGAGTTTGCATTCTCCCCGTGTCTGCGTGGGTTTCCTCAGGGTGCTCTGGTTTCCTCCCACACTCCAAAAGATGTGTAGGTTAGGTGGATTGGCCAAGCTAAAAATTGCTCCATTGTGTTCAGGATGTGTAGGTTGGGTGGATTAGCCATGGGAAATGCAGGGTTACAGGGAAAAGGTGGGTGGGGGTGGGGAGGGGGTTCTGGGTGGGATGCTCTTTGGTGGGTCGGTGTGGACTCTTCTGCACTCTATAGGGATTCTATTCTCTGGTCTTAACAGAACTATAAAACCTAAAGGAGTGCAGCACTCCTTCAGTTTTGTTTGGTTTTCTTGAAACTAAAGTTCTCTGTTACCATTTTAAAATGGATAGGAACCATTCCATAGGCCCAAATTCAAAAGTAAACAAATGCTTCTGCTCCAATTACTCACATGTGAGCTACTCTTCTGATATTTACTTTCCTTTAATGGCTCAAAAAGGGATGCATTAGTCAGCTCCAAAAAGCCAGATTATATTTACTGACTGAAAGCTGATCATCCTCATGAATTTTTTTTTTATCTCAGACGCTTCAAGATGCCACTGGGATGGCACTGTGATATAACACATTAGTCTGCAAATGGATAGCAATGACTTTCTAACACACGCAGAAACATCCTAATAATTGTCCACAATATTAAATTTCAGGCAACAGACCATCAAGGAGCAATTTTCCAATCGTCGTCTTAATTTTTATTCTCCAGATAATCTTATTAGATGGAATTTGCAGGTAATATTGCACTACTCACACGAGCAGAAGCTCAAATGCAGCCAGCAATGGAACACAAAGTGACTGCAGTACAGGAATACTTCACCAAATAGCTTTTCCTCAATATGTAGCTAATTCCCAAAGGTTAGTTGCTCAGTTATTTGCTTGTAAGCAGCCTAAAATTATCCTTTATCATTAAAAATGTAAATAATACATATAAGATTCAGATTCTGTAAATCATTCAACATATAAACAAAACTAATAAGCAATATTTAATCTCAACTACCACGATCTTATTTTAAGTATTAAAAACCACTGCTAAAACACAGTGACATCTTGAATTTTCTCCCATCAATAACCCTGAATACAACTACATTCTTCAATTCAGGAAAATTCCACACAAACGGTTTTAAATGAATGGGGTGAGAAAATAAATGTTTAAAAAAAATTGTCCTTCATCAGAAGACAGTTTACATAACTAGATATCATTCACTGGTAATTACAATTACAAACCAGTTCACTGCAGGAATATTAAAATATTCTCCAGTATTAATAAATTGTGCCACTTTTTGGTTGTATAACTGTACTGCACATTTAACCTTCAAAAAAATCAAAATTTCCGTGCTTACCTTAGTAAGAAATACATCAGCTGTCACAAACAGGCTTGTTATTCTGTTTAAAACAACTGTTTGCAACTATGTGTATTCTCTCATCACAACCTCTTATGTCATTTAACTAAAGAGTGCAACTTATATTTTTGGGCAAAATGTCTAAGTAATCACTGCTAACCATACAACAATACCATTTGACTTCACTGGTGACTTTAGGTTTCTAGCTTGTATCTCTATTCTTAACCTTCTCCTTGAACTGCATAATGGGAAAATACATGCACCGCAGCAAACATCATGCAAACCAGAAAATTGTCAGATTTAATCTCTGGTGTCAGTAAGGGTAGAAATCCATGAGCCTGAGGGCAGTCACTGACTAAATCTGTATATGAAGAATGACACTTGGACAAGGAACGAGAGGATGTCTGGTCTCAAACGGCATCCCACTAAGAGTCAGTATCTTTGAAAAAGAGGTTAAGATAAGAAAATCACAGGGAAACTTATTATTTGCATACAGGTGAAAAATTGGTTTGTATACCACTGCAGACAAAACAAGATTTATTTCATATCTGCTCAAGTGCAGGTCACAATTTGTAAATTTGGTATCATGTAATAAATTAAGTAGCTACAGTACAGTTCATCCATAAGCCTACAAGTTAATCTTTAAAGAACGCAAATCCTAGCTGCAGTAGTGGTGAGAAAATAAAATAGCTCTATCTTGCTCATAATACACCTGTGTACTAGCAATGCACAAGAAGGGGTTTAGTGAATATCTGTGATTTCAAATGAGTCATCAAGTCTGGTGCATTACTACGACAAACAGATCTTAAATAAATAATTTTGATGATCTCCAGTTTATCGACCATCCATACTTTGCATAAGGAAAATCTTACAACAACTACTCAATCAAATCAAAGGTTTTTTTTAGAAAGTAGCAATTCATGAATTATATTTTCATGCTTTTGGTTTAAAAATCACTGGCAGGTATTCTTCAATTCTAGTAATCTTAATTGGCAAAGTCAGATAATAATCGTTAGATATACTTAACTACATATACTATTCTGTAGCAAAGACTGAAAGATCATGTGTACGATTTTAAAAGCAAGATCTGTCTATGCCTATGAATTTTAAACAAATTATTTGCATCAGGTTCATCTCATAACAGTGGTAAATAAAATTATAGCAGATTTTGTACTAGAACAATAGGAGATTAAAGCTCAAGCCTTTGGCTTTAACCAGCTCTCAGCATACAAAGCAGACATTATGAATATATTAATGCAAACATTTTACAGACTTAATGGGAAGTTCAATTGCACACTTGTGTAATTTATTCTACTGGTTAAGAATACACAGGCATTTGATGCATCCTTTTGTCTTTGTACTGCAACAGTGGATTTTAACAGGTCATCATTTGACAGAGCTAGGCTGTTATTAAGATCAAGACTCACCCATTTCATCATGCAGTAAACAGCATATGGTATTTCATCTTAAAGTTTCTGATTACACAATGAGAACGCTGGAAATAATTTCTCCAAAAAACAGAAACAAAGTGCCCACAATGAGGTGACCTAGTCAAGAACGGTTTGATTTTGTCCAGAAACAACTAAACGAGACTAGACATCAAGCAAGCATAATAACCTGTGGAGTCAAAATTACATCTTCATTGGTTGAATCAATCATGTGATTTCAACATCTTCAACTTAAATAAAATTACAAGCTGTCCCATTTAAAGGAGAGCAGTAACAAATAACATTTCACAAATCATTAATTAATTTTTGCATTACAATGAAACATTGAGAACAAACAGCAGAAGCAGTTAACACCCTCTTCCCTGTCAATATTTATAACAAAATCAGGTTACTCAGCTATTAAGAATGTGTATTAGCATAAAACTACATATTAAATTTATAGAGATAACAAGGTGTAGAGCTGGATGAACACAGCAGGCCAAGCAGCATCATAGGAGCAGGAAGGCTGATGTTTCGGGCCTAGACCCTTCATCAGAAATGGGGGAGGGGAAAGGGGGTTCCGAAATAAATAGGGAGAGAGGGGGAGGCGGATAGAAGATGGATAGAGGAGAAGAAAGGTGGAGAGGAAACAGACAGGTCAAAGAGGCAGGGATGGAGACAGTAAAGGTGAGTGTAGGTGGGGAGGTAGGGAGGTGATAGGTCAGTCCAGGGAGGACGGACAGGTCAAGGGGGAGGGTAATAAGGTTAGTAGGTAGGAAATGGGGGTGCAGCTTGAGGTGGGAGGAGGAAGTCGCAACCCCATTTCCTACCTACTAACCTCATCCCGCCCCCTTGACCTGTCCGTCCTCCCTGGACTGACCTATCACCTCCCTACCTCCCCCCCTACACTCACCTTTACTGTCTCCATCCCCGCCTCTTTGACCTGTCTGTTTCCTCTCCACCTATCTTCTCCTCTATCCATCTTCTATCCGCCTCCCCCTCTCTCCCTATTTATTTCGGAACCCCCTTCCCCTCCCCCATTTCTGATGAAGGGTCTAGGCCCGAAATGTCAGCCTTCCTGCTCCTATGATGCTGCTTGGCCTGCTGTGTTCATCCAGCTCTACACCTTGTTATCTCAGATTCTCCAGCATCTGCAGTTCCTACTATCTCACCTACCTATGGGGTTCAGGTTTCCACCTGGAACAAAAATGAGAAGGGCAGATGAACAATCCATTTTCCAATAATATCAGCAAGATGATATTTAACTGCTCAGACTAAAATTTATGCTGAATTTGTTGTAAATTTCCTGTGCGTTTGCAAACAGATTGTGGACGATTTCCTTCCTTTAAATTATAATGACTGCATCAATCTCTGGGGCTCAGAAGCAGTGTTCTAGATGTGAGTGGGTGTAAACATGAAAAAGGCTTAGGAGAGAGAACAGGCCCCATTGTGAGAAGCAATGGCTTGCTGTTGAGGTGCACTGGCAACAGTGGATGTCATCAAGATGGAGGGAAGAGAGAAAGTAAATCAATTGTGAAAGTAAGTATTTTTTTTAGTTTATATTGATTTTCTGTGCAGTGCAGCAATTTAGCAGGTCCCACTTTTCCATTTTCTTTTCTCCATAGCCCAGCGAATTATCCATTTACAGTGTCAATTACTGTAGTTTCAAAGTCACAATTGAATCAACCTCTATTATCCTGTCAGTGCTTTCCAGACCCACAAGGGTATAATGTTTTGAATTTGCCCAGTTCTCTGACTCCACCCCTTTTAAGGAAGGTCGGAAGATTGTTACCATGTTGTTTTTGGTTCTTTAGCAAGTCACCTTAAATCTGTGACCTCTAATTCCTGCTGGTGGAAACAGTTTCTCTTCTTTGTCAGGAGGCCTCCAAATTCTAGCCTGTCTCAAATTTCCTCTCTTCCTTCCTGTCTAAGGAAGACAGTGCCAGTTTCTACAAACCATTCATTGACTAAAGTTGAGGATTATCGGATCAACCATGAACTCATTGAATGCTAGAGAGATTCAGATGGGCTGAATAGCCTTCTGCTCCTATGTCATTGAGTCATAGAAATGTACAGCATGGAAACAAACCCTTTACTCTAACTCATTCATGCCAACCACATATTCTAAATTAATCTGGTCCCATTTGCCAGCATTAGGCCCATATCCCTCTATCCCTCTATCCCTCTAAACCCTTCCTATTCATGTACCTATCCAGATGCCTTTTAAATGTTGTACTTGTACCAGCCTCCACCACCCACTTCCTCTGGCAGCTCATTCCATACATGCACCACCCTCTGCACGAAAACGTTGCCCCTTAGATCCCTTTTAAATCTTTCCCCTCTCACCTTAAACCTATGCCCTCTAGTTTTGGACTCCCCTACCCTGGGGAAAAGACTTTATATTCACCTTAACCATGGCCCTCATGATTTTGTAAACTTCTTTAAAGTCACCCCTCATCCTCCAACGCTGCAGGAAAAATAGCCCCAGCTATTCAGCCTCTCCCTACAGCTCAAACCTTCCAAACCTGGCAACGTGCTTGTGAAATTTGAAAGGGTTCAGAAAAGATTTACAACAACTTTCCTATAGGAGGGAGACCAGAATTGCATCCAGTATTCCAGAAGTATCCTAACCAGTATCCCGAACAGTCACAACATGACATCCCAACTCTTATACTCAATGCACTGACCAATAAACCAAGCGTACCAAACACTGTCTTCACTACCCTGTCTACTTGCAACTCCCTTGGCTTACAGTCCTTCATCCCTGGATTCATTCACATCTTTTCTTCACCCTCTTCTCAAGTCTTCACATTCTCCTTAAAATCACAGTGCCCAGAACTGAACATAGCAATCCAGTTGAAGCCTCAGTAGTATTTTATAAAGCTTCTTCATCGGCATAACTGTATTGCGCCCTGATGCCCTATAGTGTTTGGATCTGACTTAACACATCTGAGCTGGTATTCTTTTGAGATGTAGTCACTTACTGCAGAGGTAGTAGGAACTGCCGATGCTGGAGAGTCTGAGATAACAAGGTGTAGAGCTGAATGAACACAGCAGGCCAAGCAGCATCGGAGGAGCAGGAAAGCTGACGTTTCGGGCCTGGACCCTTCTTTGGAAATGGGGGAAGGGAAGGGGATTCTGAAATAAATAGGGAGACAGGGGGAGGCGGATAGAAGATGGATAGAGGAGAAGATAGGTGGAGAGGAGACAGACAGGTCAAGGAGGCAGGGATGGAGCCAGTAAAGGTGAGTGTAGGTGGGAGGTAGGGAGGTGATAGGTCAGTCCAGGGAGGACGGACAGGTCAAGGGGGAAGGTAATGAGGTTAGTAGGTAGGAAATGGGGGTGCAGCTTGAGGTGGGAGG